TGAGGCCAAATATTCTAAAACTCTTAAGAATGAGAGCACGCCTCGCAAACAGCCCTGGGTGGCAAGAGGTTGTAAGAAACTCACCGCAAAGCAGTTGTGCAATTAAGGACTCTATTTCTGCGCTATTTTAAGAATTGTGGGTTTTGAGGCCGTGGAGCCACACGCTCCGCTGAGACCCAGCCGGCCTGTTTATTTCTGGAAGTTCAGCCAAGAGATGGAAAATGTTTTGTTTCAGATGCTTCAGATGTTCATTTTTCTCATGCTGTGACTTTATCGATTTGATTTTGTGCGGAGAGTTTGGGGTAAATATACAGCATTCATATCATGAAGTGAAAGGTCATGTTTGGGTTGGTCCTCTCCACTTGCTTTACCAGGCTGGTTGACCATTTTGATAATGCTCTTCCTGCACAGAAAATTAGGATGCAATTTTGGTTCTCTTTATTAGATTTGAAGGAAGATACATAGCTCTTAGGAACAGGCATCCCTCACACATGGTTGTTTTTGTTTTGTTCTGTTTTTTAATGTCATTGAGCGACTTGAGAAACTTCAAGTTGCTTCTGGTGTGAGAGAATTGGCCGTTTGCAAGGACGTTGCCCAGGGGATACCTAAATGTTTTACCATCATTTGGGAGGCTTCTCTCATATTTAACCATCCTGTGGTAGGCTTCTCTCATAGTTTACCATCCTGTGGGAGGTTTCTCTCATATTTTACCATCCTGTGGGAGGCTTCTCTCATATTTTACCATCCTGTGGGAGGCTTCTCTCATATTTTACCATCCTGTGGGGGGCTTCTCTCATATTTTACCATCCCGTGGGGGGCTTCTCTCATATTTTATCATCCTGTGGGGGGCTTCTCTCGTATTTTACCATCCTGTGGGAGGCTTCTCTCATATTTTACCATCCTGTGGGAGGCCTCTCTCATATTTTACCATCCCGTGGGAGGCGTCTCTCATATTTTACCATCCTGTGGGAGGCTTCTCTCATATTTTACCATCCTGTGGGAGGCTTCTCTCATATTTTACCATCCTGTGGGGGCTTCTCTCATATTTTACCATCCTGTGGGAGGCTTCTCTCATATTTTACCATCCTGTGGGGGGCTTCTCTCATATTTTACCATCCTGTGGGAGGCTTCCCTAATATTTTACCATCCTGTGGGAGGCTTCTCTCATATTTTACCATCCTGTGGGAGGCTTCTTTCATGACCCTGTATGGGAAGCTAGAGCTTGACAGATGGGAGCTCTTTTTAAATTGTTATTGCACTGTCTTTTTTGTCTTAATGCACTTAATTGTTTTTGCTTTTGTATTGTATTGATGGCATCGAATTGTGCCGATATGTAGACCACCCTGAGTTGCCTGCGGGCTGATATGGGAGTGAAATAAATAAATAAATAAAATACCCCACTCCCTGGATTCAAACAACTGGCACAAAGGTTTAACCCATTGTGCTACTGGAGGCTCCTTCACACATGGTGACTTGGAAGGAACCCAAAGGTCTATGGAGCCCCAATGAAAGAAGTAATTAGTGCAGTCATCTTTGGATGAATTATGCATCAGACCCAATAGAACTGAATTTTGATCTTCATTGTTCTAATTGCTATGCTTGTTATGTTAAAAGGGAAGAGTCATCTGTCCAGCTAGGATATTGTTTCTTCTCTGCAGAATTCTTTTTGCTGTGCTAACTTTGTTGTTGCTTTAATGTGGAAGCTAGCCATTGCACACGACTCCCTGTGAAAAACTGGATTTCAATACATAGCAAAATGACTTTACTTAGGCGATCCCTTGTTGTCCGAGTAGGATAGTCTTCCAAGATCAGTGTACTGGTGGGTCCGTAGGTGTCTGTGGAGCCCTATTCTTGACCTGCATCTTCTCCCGCAGTGAGGGCATTAGTTTCCAGGTGGAAGGCAGTCCTGGACAAGGTTGGCTTGACGTGCCTTCCCCTTGGCACATTTCTCTCTTTTGCCCTCCACGCCTCTTCAAATTCTACAGCACTGCTGGTCACAGCTGACCTCCAGCTGGAGCACTCAAGGGCCAGGGCTTCCTAGTTCTCAGAGTCTATGCCAGAGTTTTTAAGGTTGACTTTGAGCCCATTTTTAAATCTCTTTTCCTGCCCGCCAACATTCTGTTTATAGCAAAATAAACATCTTGTGCAAGCAATAATAAGATGTGTTACTCTATACAATTTATAAATGGAGAAATAAACTTGTACAAGGATGATCACTCGAAAAGCTGTAGATTGTTGTTCATTCGTTCAGTCGTCTCCGACTCTTTGTGACCTCATGGACCAGCCCACGCCAGAGCTCCCTGTCGGCCGTCACCACCCCCAGCTCCTTCAAGGTCAGTCCAGTCACTTCAAGGATGCCATCCTGTAGATATAGGTAAGCTTTACCTATATCTACAGCTTTACCTATATCCTGTAGATATAGGTAAAGCTGTAGATATAGGTAAGCAATTCATCTTCACCAGAAGTCAGTTTTTCAAGTCAAAAAACTCTCTGAGCAATTTTTTAATTATACATGCCATAGGGAGGACTTTTGTATTAATATGTGTATTGTGTTGTGGACTCATTGTGTGCGTTCATACCTCTGCTAATGGATTGGAATTTGTGGCTACAATTCATTCCGCAGATTCTCTTTCCAATATTCCTTTGTAATTTCCTTGTCATAAGGACCACAACCTGTGTTTCCAGGAAAGGTTGAAATATTATGTGGCTGGTTTGGGGGTATTGCAGTTTTTAATGTCAAATTGGTGTCCCTGGGTTGTTGTAGGTTTTTTCGGGCTATATGGCCATGTTCTAGAAGCATTCTCTCCTGACGTTTCGCCTGCATCTGTGGCAAACATCCTCAGAGGTAGCGAGGTCTGTTGGAACTAGGAAAAAGGGTTTATATATCTGTGGAATGATATAAACCCTTTTTCCTAGTTCCAACAGACCTCACTACCTCTGAGGATGCTTGCCATAGATGCAGGCGAAACGTCAGGAGAGAATGCCTCTAGACCATGGCCATATAGCCCGAAAAAACCTACACCAACCCAGGGACATCAATCTGACATTGGTGACTGGCATAGGATGGCATGTATCTCATATTGGAGGAAGAGTAGGTAAATGAATCTGCAATGTTGTGAATTATGTAATTTGCCCCTGGAAAATTCCTCCTAGAGTAGCTGCGGGAACAGAGTTGGCTTCTGGGTTTGTGGCTAGGCTTTGTCCCTGCATTACCATCTACATTATGTATTACATTGTAAATGGGTAAGATTTGGAAGCTGTCTATAGGGAAATAAAGGGCTATGTGCCAGAGATTGTGAGATAGCTCTCTTAACTCTCAAGAATTAGTTGTTGTCCATTGAAAATGTGATTTTTCTTCTTTTCTCTCCTCCTTTTTATGCTGCAGCTTAAAGACTAACATGGCTACTCCTTTGAAAACTTTCATTGAAGTGTTGCAAACTTTAATCTTTGGATCGAATCAAGATGTCCAGAATCTGAGGCCTATGTACATATGTGCATACAAATGTGGCAAATGTTAAATAGAAAATGCTGTGTAAGAGTCTTCCAATGAAATCTGCATTTTCCCACATGAGAAAACATGTCTCTTAAAATGTATTTTTAGTGTCTTAACTCCAGTAAAAATCAAGGATATAGGCAAACTCTCATCTAGTCTGTTTGTTTGTTTGTTTTGTTAAAAAATGTAATACAAATATCTGGTTGCTCCTGACACAATAAATAAATAAATTTAGCCAATGCTGGAGGAACTGTGTAGCATTAGGTACATGCTTCCACATATGATGGAGGTGACTCAGTATTATGAAATTTAGCAAAAAAAATATATTTAGGAGAAAATAGGTCAAATTGCAAAAAAAATTCCTTTTGAATAAAAAATAATAGGACTTCTCCCCATATTTCATTATGATTATCTGGCATTAAATCACAACAATCAGATAATTTATTATTTTGGTTTGATACAAGATTGATAATAGCTCAGAACCGGAAAAAAATGGACTATTCACTTCTCTCTATATAATTTTTTTAGAACTCGTATTTAGAAAAAAAAACTGGCATCTAAGGTACAAAATGATTGAAATATTCAGTCAGAACAATGTTTCTTTTCATCATGGTTTCCTTTTATTAATTAGACCAATGGCGGCGGGGAGTTTCCACTCTTCCACATCCACATTTGGGCTCATAGAGAGATGCTTTTGTTGAATGCTAAATTTATTATCATTTTCTCATGCTGCAAACTAATGGTCTCAAGGTTTTCTGGAAATCTTGAAAATTTTATTTTTGGGGAAAATAATTTGCAGTGCTTTGTGGATTTTGGATTTGTTTAAAAATCAAAATTTGTTTATATCACGCCACTATTATATGGTTTGTTTGTGTTTGTTTATTGAATTTGTATCCTGCCTTTCTACCAATATTATAACAAGTTAATGCAAACATTTTCTAAAATGTTTAGATTTCTGCTGATTTGTGTTATTATGCATTACCTACTGGAGCCGCAGTGGGGCAATGGGTTAAAACTTTGTGCCGGCTGAACTGCTGACCTGAAGATCAGCGGTTTGAATATGTGAAACAGGATGAGCTCCTGTCTGTCAGATTTAGCTTCCCATTTGGGGACGTAAGAGAAGCCTCCCACAGGATGGTAAAAAATCCTTACGTCTCTGCAGACAGCCAGTTCTCTCACACCAAAAGCGACTTGCAGTTTTTCAAGTCACTTCTGACATGAAAAAACCTACTGGCTGTTAGGAATTGTAAGAGTTGAAGTTCAAAACACCTGGAAGGAGGGCCTAAATTGGTCCATACCTGCTATATAAAAACTGGACAGTACATTAAACAAATTAATGACATAATAAATAAAACATATAGCTTGCCACAAGAAACACATGCCACATTGCTTTATTTCATCCTTTGCTGCTCTATCTCTTTGCCTGTTTTTTTCCACCCTGATTCACTCTTTATTTCTGTTTCCTTCCTGGCCTTACCTTCTCACTTCCTTTCTTTCCTCTCTGTAGGCTCTGATGTTCTTTACATTGGTCCAGTCAAAGGTGAGCCCTGTCTGGGTAGGACTTCCTCTCTTCCTTTGTGATTTTTTTTTGGCTTGCTTTCCTTCCTTTCTCATCTCTATGGAGCTAAAAGTCTTCTTGCAGCAGAGCCTTTTTTCGTACCTTTTCCCTGCTCCTTCTCCCACATTGGCATTCTCTAGGCATGTATTGCAAAGGGCAAGAATGAAGCCCTGCGCCTTGAGTTCTAATTTGGCAAGTATTTGATCTGAAGCGATGTTGGAATATACACATAGTTTATTTGGACATTTTGTCTGAAGTGCGGGATTAAAAGAGCATATTTTGTGCATTCTTGCATTCTGCTTGTCTGACGTAATGTGCAGAGTTCATTCCTGGAAATCTCTGCGCTCCAGTGGCGATTTGGAGATGCAGACGTCTCCTTTATGTGTTGTTTAAAACAGGAATCTGATGTTCCTGTCTCACCGCTGAATCAGATGAAATCTGGAGAGGCCGTGGTAGCACAGTGGGTTAAACCACTAGCTGCAGAAAACTTGTTGACTGGAAGATTAGCAGTTCAAAACTGTGGGTCAGGGTGAGCTCCCGCTGTTAGCCCTAGCTCCTGCCAACCTAGCAGTTCGAAAACATGTAATGTGAGTAGATCAGTAGGTACCACCTCTGCAGCAAGGTAAAAAGTGCCCATGCAGCCATGCTGGCAAACACGACCAGGAAGGTCTACAGACAACAGGCTCCTTGGCATGGAAAAATGGAACAAGAGCACCTTCCCATGTCCAGAGTTGAGCATTGCCTCCAGATGCCGGAGATGGAAAGGGAAACCTTTGCCTTTGTTTGTGTATTGTATGTCATTGTTCACTGTATAAAAGACATTGAATGTTTGTGTATATATGTGTATACTGTAATCTGCTCTGAGTCCCCTCGGGGAGATAGAGCAGAATATAAATAAAGTGTATTTATTATTATTATTATTACTACTACTATTATTATCCTTGTCTTGGCCACCATTCCCTAAAAATGCTGAGTTGTGGGACTCCATAATTTGAAAAACCTCGTTCTGTCTCCAGTGAACCAAACTTATATTTTAACCCTGTGTTTCTCTCCTCTTTAGGGAGCATTTATTCAAGCCCGGGACTTTACAGCAAAACCATGACCCCAACCTACGATTCTCACGACGGGAGCCCCTTGTCTCCCACCTCGGCGTGGTTCGGGGACAGCGCTTTGTCAGAAGGGAATCCAGGCATCCTTGCCGTCAGCCAGCCCATCACGTCCCCAGAAATCTTAGCCAAGATGTACAAGCCACAGACGCTTCTGGACAAGGCCAAGATCAACCAAGGGTAGGCCTTCTTGAGAGTTTATTTTAGCAGCTTGACGTTTTAAACAATGTTGTTCTGCAATGGCTGAGCCAGTTCTCGCTGCTTTGTGTTGGTAGGTGGCTCGATTCTTCCAGGTCCCTCATGGAGCAAGATGTGAAGGAGAACGAAGCCTTGCTTCTCCGGTTCAAGTACCACAGCTTCTTTGATTTGAATCCTAAGGTATATATTATCTGTAGTGGTGCGTGATAGAATATGATCTTTGTATTTTGCATGTATCGCAAATTCTTATCAGAGTAGTTCAGCAAGAATAGCCAAAGTGCACTACACTTGTTAATAATGCATAGACCTGAACTGGAAACAGAATGTGCTGTACATCTTATTGGCACATCTGGTTTGTGTTTAGCCTGTTGAAGGCAGTAGATAATAACATCTTAGAAATGATGCTGCAAAGGCTCCTAGCCCAGCCTCCCTCCCCTGCAATGTAGGAATGCTGCCCACAAACTTCCTTTTAAAGCAGGTTTGGGCAAACTTGGGCCCTTCAGGTGTTTTGGACTTCAACCCCTACAATTCCTGACAGGAGCCCCCAGTGGCGCAGTGGGTTAAACCCCTGTGCCGGCAGGACTTAAGACCGACAGGTCGCAGGTTCGAATCCGGGGAGAGGCGGATGAGCTCCCTCTATCAGCTCCAGCTCCTCATGCGGGGACATGAGAGAAGCCTCCCACAAGGATGATAAAAACATCAAATCATCCGGGCGTCCCCTGGGCAACATCCTCACAGACGGCCAATTCTCTCACACCAGAAGCGACTTGCAGTTTCTCAAGTCGCTCCTGACACGACCAAAAAAAATTATTCCTGACAGCCTACCAGCGGTCAGGAATTGTGGGAGTTGGAGTCCAAAACACCTGAAAGATAAGTCTATCTGCCACAGGTGTGTGTTAATTATGTCAACAGACCATATCAAATCTAAGCCAACTGTATTATTACTATGTGCAGTATGAAATATGTTACTGCTTTGATGTGACATATTTCCATTTCTTTTCCTCCCTAAACTGACTGCTTCAACTGCATAAAAGACTTTATCATTTTGTGCAACTTACTAATTAAAAAGTTCAGTTTGTCCTCAGCCCCTTAATTTCCATTATGATGAAAATAAGGAGATAAGTAACATTCTTTCGGACTGGAATACAACCAACATCTGCTGTAATAATAGTAAGGAAGATCTTCTACTTCAGGTACACCTCATTGGCCGTAGAAGGAATAGTGTAATGTCATACTTGGATTAAATTATTTTTTTTAATTTTAATTGGGCCCAATATCAAAGCTTTCATTGGAGCATTAATTTGGACTCATGGACAGATACTTCCCTTAACAACAAAGATGGAATTAAACTTCACTACCTCTGAGGGTGCTTGCCATAGATGCAGGCGAAACGTCAGGAGAGAATGCCTCTAGAACATGACCATATAGCCCAAAAAAACCTACAACAACCCAGGAATTAAACTTGTTTTAAAGCAGTGACTTTTGCCCCTGATGTTCAATTGTCTTTCCATCTTAGATGAGCTGGAGGCGATCAGGCAAAATTTATTGTACTCATAGTTTTTGCACTGACAACACTTGTGTGAGTGTGAAAGAGAGGGAGGGAGATCAGGCACCATTCCACAGATATATAAACCCTTTGTCCTAATTCCAACAGACCTCACTACCTCTGAGGATGCCATAGATGCAGGCGAAACGTCAGGAGAAATGCCTCTAGAACATGGCCCTATAACCCGAAAAAACCCACAAGAACCTAGTGATTCCAGCCATGAAAGCCTTCGACAGTACACCACTTATTTATTTATTTATTTATTTCATACGCTTGTACCCCGCCCGTCTTGCCCCCGAGGGGGGACTCAGGCCGCCTTTCTTACCACTCCTACCTATGCTAATGAAGTATGTGATACAGCAATAGAAAAGGTATCCCCCAGGAAATTTGAACAGGCAGTTGCCACTGCAAGAAATCTGACCAGATTTCACAAAGTTATATAATGTATAATAAATAAGCCTCCTGTGGTTGATTTCTGACAGCCACTACTCTGAAAATGGCTGCTAGTCAGAGTGAAAATAAAAATACAAACTGAATAACAACAACAACTTTATTTTTATACCCTGCCCCCATCTCCCTGGAACTCAGGGTGGCTTACAAAGGGACAAGCCTGACATTTTATTTATTATTTATTATTTATTTATTAACTACATTTCTATACCGCTTTTCTCACCCCTGGGGGCACTCAAAGTGGTTCACAACATAATAAATGGCAAATTCAATGCCTCACATATATATGTCACATAAATATGACATATCTAAATCAATAACATATAACTGTAGATAAAAAACTTTAAAACTATAAAAACATCAAACATAGACATAAGCATGAAACATATTATTGCTGCAATTAACAATGTAGACCTCGTCTCTCCAGCCCCCCCGACTCCCCAACTCTCTTTCCATAGCGTTTCAGCCCTTCTTTTATACCCTCCCTGCTTCCCCCACATCCCAACAGACACAGTTATTTAGGTACAGAATGAATACAAAATGGGGAGGGTAAAAAAAAGTCCTGGGCCTTCTTGGGGGATAGTAAATGTGATATGAGGTCCTTGGGGCGGGTGGAGGGGGAGTCTTATCTGATGATGGTAGTAGGCTACTGATCAGTTTCGTAAAAGTCCAGAGGAATATAGATTTTATCAGCTGTGGTGTCATAAGTTAGGTGTGAGCTCTCACTCTCCAGTAGATTGAGGATGGGGAAGGGCAATGAAGTGCAGCTGCCCCTAAGGAGAGTTGGTGTGTAGGCTGCACCTTCCACTCTGGAGGAACTGAAGTCTCCTGGCCTCCTTTGCACCTCCTCCTTGCTGGCTGTTGGAGGGAGGGGGCCGTGAGGAGTAGCTGCTGCCGAGGAGGGTTGGTGTGTAGGCTGCACCTTGCACTCTGAAAAACACAGATTAAAACATAGCACAATAAGATAAAATCAAAATAAAATCAAAATATCAAAATAAAATTAACATATCACAACAACTCAACATATTTTTTTTTATTTATTTCCAGCATTTCTACCCCATCCTTCTCAGCCCCCGAGGGGGGAATTCAACATAACATAATAGCAATCCCACATCACTGTGTCACTTCACTGTGCCTGCAAGCATTGAGCATATCAACTTTTAAAACCAGAAAAGCTGGCACAAGAATTGGATGTGTGTTCCTCCATGCCAGGGAATGGACTAGATGACCCTTGTGGTCTCATCTAACAAATGTTACATATGTGGTTTAAAAACAGTACCCAAGATTGTCATGTGGGGGAGGGGGGGGTACCTACTCAGGTTTGCATTCTGTAAATAAAGAATTACTGTAAATCAACCATCACCACAAAAAGTTGGAATACTTTAATTCTAAGGAACTTAAAATGTAATTTTTGGGGCGAGAAGTACCATAACAACTCAGCATTGATGCACACCGCTTAACTGAGAACAAGATTTGTAACCACAAGATTGGGAAACAAGTAGTTGGGTGAAGAGGTTTGTTTTGAGTTGCCTTTGTATTGTAGTAGTGAAACTCCAGACTTGACTATTGAGATTCTTAGATGTCATATCTCCAAGTGGGCAAGAAGCTTCGTATCTCACAGACCTGGCCCTTCTGGGCAATTGAACAAATGCTGTTATTTCAAAATTGGCACAGTGTTTGACCAGGGAGCAGAAATTGAGGCTTTCAACAGGCTTACAAGATAATTTGTCAGGGGTCATTTCTCAATTACAAAAAGGTCTTTGGCAGGATTCTGTACCAACGCTTTGATTATGTCCTGACAGTACGATGCCATCAGAATCAACCAGCTGTATGAACAGTCCAAATGGGCTATTCTCTTGGAAGAAATAGAATGCACAGAGGAGGAGATGATGATGTTTGCAGCATTACAGGTAAGCGGTGCGTCCCAATCTCTTTTTAACCTGTTGGTTTCACCATCGTAATAGATCTTTTGCCCTCGGAAACTGCTGCAGTCTTTGACAAACAAGAGTTTTGTGTTGCCTCAGAGCTTCTTGGAAGCTAGAATAGTTTGTTCAGACAAGTCTTGGCTTGCTTCCCATTTCTGCAGAATGCGCCTGGACCTTTTTAGGTAATTTAAAACAGAGTAGACTCCTTGCTATGTCTCGTGCTAAAAGGTTTCATTTTCAGATACAAGTCTGTATACATCTTTACTTTTTGTTGGCTTTTCAACAAATTGTGAGTGCATCAGGCACTGTGAACTCCAAGAATCTGACCCTCTGGTTCTCTTAAGTAGCTGGTGATAATCTCAGAGTTTCTCAGAAATGCCTTTCTTTCTCTTCTTTCTGCTATTTTCCTGGGAAAGGAGAGCAGAGTGTAAAGTGCCAAACTTGTTGCACCTATAAACACTATACTTATACATCGCAGTTTTTCTATGATATACGGTGTCCCTAACATCTCCCTTCATTTTTAAACAATGCTTATTTCATCCCAGCAGTGAAAGATCTCATACCGACCTACCTTTGCTATTCCTCAATTATTATTTTTTTATTATCATTCCTGGTTTCAGGTGTCGATATAGAACAGTGAGCAGAAATCTTGCTTACTCAGATGCCTTCTTCATAGTCACAAAGTGATGATTCTGTGACATTTTGAAAACTATTTTTTTTTTCATGGTATAATAGGCATTTCTTTGATTCAACTGTGTAGTCCAGCCTTTGATTGTGCCTGTACCTGATCTCACTGGGGATGCTGGGCCTGTTAGGCAGTCAGTGGGGATTCTAGGCCTGCAGACCAGCAAGAGAATCAGGAGATTTTAAGCCCTGAGTATGAGAGCTCTCTGACCGAAGGAGGCCACATTCCAGAAAGGCAGTTCCCTAGAGATGCAAGGTCAGAGGCAGAAATGAGCTCAGGGGAGGAAGATGCAAGGAGGACGATGCAACTCCAGGTGGACTGGCTAATGAGCAGCAGTTAGATAGGAGATTGATGTTCCGTCAACATACAGTTTCTCATGAGGCAGCTTGAAGGTCAAGTTGCTTATTGGCCAAGAAGCCCTAATCAGATTTTGAAAGGAAATGGCACGGGTTTCTGTCTGTATTAGAGACACCAGCAGATCATTTCCTCAGTCCAGACAGCGTTGATTTTGGAGTATAGAACTCTTGCCCAGTCGAGTCTTTCAAGAGATCTCTTGTTTGAGGTTTTCTTGTGTTCGTGTTTCATATCTCAAACTCCTAAGGACTGTTCTTGTGTCATGTGTTTGGATTTATCCTGCTTTTGTATTTCTGGTTTTTGATGCATTTCATGTACTCTGAACTTTGAGGATTATTACTGTTTTTTGGACATTTATTTTAACACTATTTTGCTGGATTGCTTTTTATATATATTATTCAATAAACCTCTTTGTTATTTTACCTTGGACTGGATTGTGTGTTAAATACAGATGTGATTTCCAGCCTTGGAGTGCAACAGTGGGATGTTTTCCTATATTTTACCAGAGATAATTACACAGTTGGTTGCTTCCTTGTCCTTTCACTCAGAACCTCTCATATAATTAGAGCTATTGATCAGGAAAAAAGGAGGAATGTGGGAAGATTTGGCATTGTGAAGATTGCCTTCTGCAGCTCTTTCTGGTCAATATATCTAACATAAATCACAATGCCATTATCTGCTGAGAGAAGGATTCGTATATCATGGGAATAAGCCTTTCATGTTAATATAAAGGAGCCTAGCTATTCAGACCTGCTTCTCCATTTTTGCATGATTTCTCTGAGATGAGAAAAAGCAACCAGAAGTGGATCGTTGGGCCATAATGTCCTCTGAAACATGTAAACCAACATAGGCTCAATCACTCCAGCAGCAAGCCATGCTTCATTCCAAAGTACCTCCCTTACTTTCCTTCTATTCCACATTAAATGGGGAGACGTTTTAAGAGGTTAATTATGGCCATTGAACAGGAATATGCATTATCTTTCTTTAGTAAATGTAGTTCAACTCATAATGGTATTTGTTTGCGTCTTCTTTCCCTTTTGTTAGTGACCCTCCTGGTTTTCAATTACTTTCTTTCAGTACCACATCAATAAGCTATCAATCATGTCATCAGAAAATCACTTAAACAACAGCGACAAAGAAGTGGATGAAGTGGATGCTGCGCTTTCCGACCTGGAGATTACCCTCGAAGGCGGGAAGACCTCCACGATTCTGGTAAGACCTGAAAGTGGGAACGCAGGCATGCCCTGAAGAGACAGTCCTCTATCAAAGTGGTGAGGTGCACAATGTGGAAGGGTGTATCAATTAGGCAATAGTGAATCTGGCAAGTGGGTGAGCTCAGTTCTAAAAGGAACTGGGGAATTGACCAGGATCGATGCTACTAGAAAAGGAGAGAGGTAGTTACTGTCAAAATGCTCACTCCCTATTGCTAGGTAGTTCCAAATGATGCCCTTTGCATTTGCAGCTAACCTATTTATGTGTGTTCACAGGTGACCTTTCAAAGAACCACAGTTAACGACAAACAACCTTTTCTTTTCAGGGTGATGTTAGGCTGGTCTCAACCAAACATCATAGCTCCTCTAATTATTTTAAGAAGGATCTTAGTCAGAGAGTTGGCAGAGTAATGGATTCAGTGTTGAGATCACAGGCCTCGTGCCTTGCCTTACTATCTACTGAGTGGACAGGTGTTGGTTTTTTTTAATCGTGTTAGGAGCAACTTGAGAAACTGCAAGTCGCTTCTGGTATGAGAGAATTGGCTGTCTGCAAGGACGTTGCCCAGGGGATGCCTGGATGATTTGATGTTTTTATCATCCTTGTGGGAGGCTTCTCTCATGTCCCCGCATGAGGAGCTGGAGCTGATAGAGGGAGCTCATCCGCCTCTCCCCGGATTCGAACCTGCGACCTGTCAGTCTTCAGTCCTGCTGGCACAGGGGTTTAACCCACTGCACCACCGGGGGCTCCATAGTGGATATGTGCAATACCACTAGCTGTCTATGGTGCAGATGTTCAACACTGAGTAAGCAGCATATCCCTTTACAAGCTGTTATAGTGACCCAGAAGTGATGGTTGCATTTTATGCCTATTTTAGTTAAGAAAAAGTATGCAACCATTATGTGAAGAAAAAAAATGAGTATTAGTTTTGCTGGTTTCTGTTGTTGTTCATTTATCTGAGAGAGGAGGAAGAGGAGGGTGATTCCAAGCCCCAAATTGTTGTGTTCATTGTACCATGCGACTATCATGCAAGAAAGGTTAGAAGCCAATTTTTTAACTTGAAAACAGAGGCGTGCGACTGTAACACAATCAATAAAACTAATTTCATGGTCAGCGTTCATCTTTCAGAGTTCCATAATTCCATTCCACTTAGCCAATTCCTGCCCATCGTCAAGATCCTTTCTTCATCTGCCAGATTGTCCGAATGCCTGGTCCCAAATCCATGTTTTCAACTTTTTCCTAAAGGCAAGGAGCGGTCGCTGATCTAATTTTCCCAGGGAGTGAATTCCACAGGTGAGGGGCCACCACCGAGAAGGCCCTGCTCCTCGTCCCCGCCAGCCTCGCTTGTGATAGAGGCGGAGTCGAGAGCAGGGCCTCCCCAGACGATCTTAGACTCTGAGGTGGGACGTAGAGGGAGATCCGTTCGGAGAGATACACTGGGCCGGAACCATATAGGGTTTTGTAGGTCAAGACCAGCACTTTGAATTGTGCTTGGAATTGGATCGGCAGCCAGTGGAGCTGACACAACAGGGGGGTGGTATGCTCCCTGTATGACGCTCCAGGGAGCAATCTGACTGCCTTCCGCTGGACTAGTTGGAGTTTCCGAACAGTCTTCAAAGGCAACCCCACGTAGAGTGCGTTGCAGTAATCTAATCGGGATGTAACAAGAGCGTGGACCACCGTGGCCATTCCGACTTCCCAAGGTAGCGACTATTAGGCGATGAAATGCAGTAATTTATTGAGCATATCTCATTTCATCCCAGCGATACAAAACTAAAGACTCAGCTGAGCAATTTCTGGCAGAATTCACACTTGTCTCAGAAATGAGACCAGACCAGGCATGGACACTGATGGCCACTCAATGTACCTACTATACCTGGGAGAGGGCCATGCGGCCTGATCGTGCTTCATCTGCCAGTCCTTCACCTCTCAGGCCTGCAAAAATAGGGAGATCCACCTAAACGCCCTGTTATATGAGCAGGCTTTTCAGGGCTTTTGTGTTTCCGCCAGGGCTCAGACAGAATGAACCCTGCCCTTTCTCTTGATGTGAGTGAAACCTATGGTCCTCCTGGGCAAGACTCATTGCACACGTTGAGGACTCCTCCTCTAGAAATGTGTGCATATTTGGACAGATGGAGAAAGGAAATATCTGTTGGCTAAGGAAAGCAAAGCTCTGTGTGTGACTCAGTGGCATTCCTTTCTCTGCCTGTGATGCAAATCTGCATCCATTCGGCTCTGCAGTCCCAGAGGTTGCCCTCATTAGTTAGCCATGGCAGGGCCCTCCTGGTCTGGACTCCTGGTTTCTCTGCAACTGAAAGCGAACACGAAACATCTGTTGCCAAAGGCAAGAGAATGGGTTAGAGCTCAAAACACAGCTGCAGTCCTTCATTGCAAGCAAAATTCATTTTTTAAGACAGATGTGACTTTCCTGATGTTGGAGACCAACCCCTACCATCCCTCAACATTGAGTATGTCAGCTAGGACTAATAGGAATTGCTGTCTGAGAACAGCTGGAAGATCACACGCCTCCTTTAAGAGTTCCTCTTTTTAGGGGGTTGTGACAGACATTAATTTGATTTATTGTGTACTTTATTCAGTGTGTTTGCACCCTACCTTCCTTGGGGATTCAGGGTGGCTCACCAGACTCACCTAAAAACATGTCTGAGTTAATGGTAATGTATAGTTAAACTAATTAGACTATTAAAATAGCAACTGAATTTTAAAATACTTTTAAAACATAGCAGAGGTTGTCATGCAGTACTCTTATTCTCCCCATTAAGACTTCAACACCCAATCTGTCGCCAAAAGCTTGTTAGATTGAGAAAGCCTCTATCAGCAAAAGGATAACAGGCTTCTTTCAAGGGAAGTTCCACAAAATGGGAACAGCCACAGAAAGGCCTGATTTTGTGTTGCTATGAAAGAGAAGCAAGAGAAGGTCACCTGATAAATATGGAAGTATGTACTGTAAGGCAAAGGAGTCTGCTTCAGTTTGGAAAGAGTTTTCTCCTCCTTTACACGGGCTACACCTTTTGGGGGCAAGTTTGCAACTATATTAACCCCCTTGAATTGTTCCCAAAGAAATTTTGAACCACGTTGCTTCTTTCAGTTCTTGATTCTGGTGGATGAAATGTTAACAGCTGCCCTCTTTTCCACAGGGAGACATCACTTCCATCCCAGAGCTGGCGGACTACATTAAAGTATTCAAGTAAGTATACCTGGAAATGCTGAAGATGGGTGGCAAAAAAGAATGATATACGAGGGGTATTTTTTAAGTAAGGTCTGTTTGAACATAAGTACAAAACGGAAGTTTATTTCAAAAAAGTAAATTTATTTTCAGAAAGTACATACTTCACTCTATTTTTCGACATAGTTGCCAAGTTTGTTCAAACACTTATCATACCTCTGAACCAATTTTAAAATACCCTCTCCATAAAAACTTGCCGCCTGCTCCGATAACCAAGAGTTCACTGTAATCAAAGAAGGGCGACCGGAGCGGTCCTCATCATGGACGTTGTCACGGCCATCTTTGAAGTGTCGTACCTACTTACGCACTTTGCTTTCACTCATAACAGTATCACCGTACACTTCACAAATCTGCCAATGAATTTCTGCAGCAGGCAGGATCCTTGCTGACAAAAACCATCTCACTGAGCGAACCTCACATGTGGAGGGTGAGTTGATAGTCTTAAACATTTTTAAAGCACAGTACAGAACCGAACAGGTGAGCTACAGAGCGGAAACTGAGCACAGTTGTTCCCGAGGCATGCCGGTACACGACGCACGAGCTCGGTATGTGCGCGAACTACTAGTGTCTACAACAAAACGGACCTTACTTAAAAAATACCCCTCGTATCTTAAATGAATACTGGTGTTAGCCATTTTGAAGCCATTTTAATATAATTGTATCATGGTTGCTTTTAGAGTATATGTTGTAGTGTTTTACTCATGTTTTAGTTTACTATGTCTTAATTGGTTTTTTATTATTTTCACCCCAATGCTTAATTCTTTGTTGTAAATTTACTGGGCATTATCTTGAATTATTTTGATGTATTTGTATTCATTTTAGGCATTGAATGTTTGCCTTTTGTTTAGTGTCTGTAAACTACCTTGAGTCCCTTCGGGGAGAGATATTATTATTATTATTATTATTATTATTATTATCATCATCATCATCATCATCATCATCATCATCATTATACTGACACAAAAACACAATCTGTCACAGCAAACAAGATCTATATGCTGGATTTCGTATCACAAATGGCCAATCAAATAGCTTAAGACATGTACAGGCAAACTTAGTCCATCCAAGTGTTTTGGACTTCCACAATTCCTAACAGACTGTAGGGCTGTTAGGAATTGTGGGAGTTGAAGTCCAAAACACCTTGATGGACCAAGTTTGCCCATGCTTGGTTTAAGAAGAACTTGATTAACAAGATTGTTTTGAGACATTTCTTCAGGTAATGAAATATTTGCTCAGGCCCTCTCCTTCCTCAAATGTCAATTGGGGAATCAAAAATACTTCCAGATTTCTGTTCCCTTGATAAGCCCCCTCGTCTATCCTAAAATTAGTGTGTTACAGAGTTTGAAAATATTGCTTAAGTGTCTTTCATGGGCTTCAAGGCCACAGAGATGGATCGTAAACATGACTCCAGACAATCTGCTCTGAGGTGCCAGAAAATACCAGCTTTAGGCTAGATGTGCTATTCCTTATTCAGATTTATTTTGATATTTTTGTTTAAAAAAAGACTTTTTATTTAAGGAAAAAAGAAAAGAACAGAGCATTATCTTGGATCAAAAAATGTGGAAACTGGAAACAGTTGTGTCTGGGCTTTGACTAATGCTTTGGCAGCCTTCGATGTCTATTGCAAAGTAATGGCCCCAAAGCTTAAGGCTATGACAGGAATTATTGAGTCAGTACAGATCCAGCAGGAAGGAAAGGTAGAGCAGCTGTTGCAAGGGAACGGCCTAGAAGACTGGGCCTGGTTGTCAGAGCCATAGACAATTCACTAAAAAGCCCCTTTGCCATGTATTCTAGGAAACCATTTCTCTCCTCTTCTTATATTATGAGAGGAAGGAGGGGCAGGTTTGGCTTCCCGCTTGTTCCCGGCCACTTCCTTTTCCTATTCAATTGCATTACGCCATCTGAAACGTGCCAGTTTGAAAGTGGAAAAGAATGGTGTGAAGGGGATGTCAGATAAGGACAGGAACCAGAGTCTGATTTCCAGCCCTCTATGAAATGTGAAAGAATATAGAGTGTATTAGATTACATTTGGGAAACTGAGGCCACCACCTTCTTTCTCTTTAAGGCAGTCTGAAAGGTCTCTTTGCATGCTCATTCTATTTCAGGGCCTTTAAGGGGAAAGGTATGCAATCAGGCATGGGCAAACTTCAATAGGCTGTTGTGTCCAGAGGAGGGCGACTAAAAGGATCAAGGGCCTGGAGAAGAAGCCCTATGAAGAGCGGCTTAAAGAGCTGGGCATGTTTAGCCTGAAGAAGAGAAGGATGAGAGGAGATATGATAGCCATGTATAAATATGTGAGAGGAAGTCACAGGGAGGAGGGAGCAAGCTTGTTTTCTGCTTCCCTGGAGACTAATGGCTTCAAACTATAAGAAAGGATATTCCATCTGAACATTAGGAAGAACTTCCTGACTATGAGAGCCGTTCAGCAGTGGAACTCTCTGCCTCGGAGTGTGGTGGAGGCTCCTTCTTTGGAAGCTTTTAAACAGAGGCTGGATTGCCATCTGTCAGGGGTGCTTTGAATAATAATAATAATAATAATAAAAATAATAATAATAATATTGCTTTGAATGCAATATTCCTGCTTCTTGGCAGGGGGTTGGACTGGATGGCCCATGAGGCCTTTTCCAGATCTATGATTCTAGGACTTGTGGAAGTCCAAAATATATAGAGGGTTGAAGTTTGCCCATGCCTGGTATACACTATCCAAGAGTTAAAACAGAAAATAAGCTGCAAAACCTTCATGAATATTCTGTGGACTCATAAGCACAATAAGCCTTCCACCTCTTGTAAACACCAAGCTTCCTGTCCTCCAAGGAAAACCTCTCTCTATTGATTTATTGCTCCAACAAGAGTTTTGGAGCTCATTCTAGGATCTTGCAGCCATTGGTTTGCTTATTTATTAAAAATTGAGTATTTTCATTAACATATAAAGAGAAGGTGTGTATATACATACATACACACACACACACACACACATACATACATATATATAAGCTGTCCCCTGCCACATGCTGCTGTGGCCCAGTTTAGTGACTTGGCTTGGGCCCTCCCAAGTTGGTTTCGAATATATGTAATGTCTTTCTGCTTGTGGGTAAACAGTATTTCTTGTTGTTTCTTTGTCAGTGTTGATGTGGAGAGTGTCTGGTTTGCCTATTCTGGAACATGCAACATATAATGGTCCTTCTATAGGGGTCCCTTTCAAATCTATGCTACTATGTCTGTGTGTGTGTGAATCATATCTATCTATATCTGTGGCTGGATGGCTCTTTGTCAGGAGGGCTTTGATTACGTATTCTTGCCCTGGTGAAGGGACTTGGACTCGATGGCCTTAAGTATGTCCTGTTGATTATGTGGGTTCTGTGTGGGAAGTTTGCCCCAATTCTAGATCCATCATTGTTTGAGTCCACGGTGCTCTCTGGATGTAGGGGAAATACAACTCCAAAATCAATGGACACTTCCCACCAAACCCTTCCAGTATTTTCCGTTGGTCATGGGAGAACTGTGTGCCAAGTTTGGTTCAATTCCATTGTTGGTGGGGTTCAGAACGGTCTGTGATTGTAGGTGAACTACAACTCCAAAGCTCAAGGTCAGTGCCCACCAAACCCTTCTAGTGTTTTCTGTTGGTCATGGGAGTCCTGTGTGTAATGTTTGCTTCAATTCCATTGTTGGTGGGGTTCAGAATGCTCTTTGATTGTAGGTGTACTATAAATCCCAGTAACTACAACTCCCAAATGACAAAATCAATTTTTTGAGTGATGGTGACTCCTTGGGTCAGTAGGTGTCTTGTGTCCAAATTTGGTTTTCACTCAGTGGTTTTTGAGTTATGTTAATCCCACAAACGAACATTACATTTTTAGATAGATAGATAGATAGATAGATAGATAGATAGATAGATAGAGAGATAGAGAGATAGAGAGATAGAGAGATACACACACACACACGCGCACATATGTCATAGGGTGAAGGGAGCAAGCTTGTTTTTGCTGTCCTGGTGACTAGGATGAGGAACAATGGTTTCAAACTACAGGAAAGGAGATTGAACATGAGAAAGAACTTCCTAATTGTGAGAGCTGTTCAGCAGTGGAACTCTCTGCCCCGGAGTGTGGGGTGGCTCCTTTGGAGGTTTTTAAACAGAGGCTGAATGGCCATCTGCCAGGGGTGCTTAGAATGCTGTTTTCCTGCTTCTTGGCAGAATGAGGTTGGACTGGATGAGGTCTCTATATACGGTATATATTGAGTCAAGGGGAGAGTAACTAATCCTCCCAATTTTCTTCACAGGCCGAAAAAGTTGACCCTGAAGGGTTATAAACAGTATTGGTGCACCTTCAAAGATACCTCTATCTCCTGTTACAAGAGCAAAGAGGAATCTAACGGCACTCCGGCTCACCAGATGAACTTGAGAGGTAAGCTTTTATATGGAAAGCAGTCACCATTAATTGATCCTTTTGGGCTTTGTTTTCATTCTGCAGATCTTGGGTGATGTGATAGGGGTGCCTTCATGCTGACTACCATAAGATGGGCAGGAGGACACCCTCTGGTCCAGCATAAGATCCATGCAGGAAGCTTTCACAAATGCCAGATGATATGAATTTCCTTGTTTTTGGAATAGAAGATATTGCAAATGGCATTTCTTTATGTGATAGAGAATATTTATAACAATACTCTCTCCCTCCACATCCCTGGTGATACATTAGATTCCTTTGTAGATTTAATTTACTAACAAAACTCCGTAACCTACATATCATAGGTTGCGGTGAGTTTTCTGGACTGTCTAGCTATGTTCCAGAAGCATTCTCTCCTGACGTTTTGCCCACATCTATAGCAGGCATCTTCAGAGGTTGAGGGGTCTGTTGGAAACTAGGCAAGTGAGGTTTATATATCTGTGGGATGATGTCCAGGCTGAGAGAAATAACTCTTGTCTGCTTGAGGCAAGTGTGAATGTTGCAGTTGGCCACCTTGATTAGCATTGAATAGCTTTGCAGCTTCAGAAGGAGCTGCAGAGGATCCAACTTCTTGTCAAGCCAGCATTTGGATGGGAAGGTATCTCTAAATTAAAACCCATTTATGTTTGAATGCTCACCTTAATTATGTATGTGTATTTGGTTGGCATATGTGTATTATAATGCTGTATTATAATGTAATACAATATACTACTACTATTAATAATAATATGGTATTATAATTATATATTTTATATTAAATGTAATATTACTAATAATATTACTGTATAATGTTTTAGTACAATGTAATATATAATATTAATATTTTCCTATGGTAATAATATGACATATTGTATTTACTTTTTACTTGTAAGTTGCTCTGAGTCCCCTTCGGGGTGAGAAGGGCGGCATATAAATGTCGTAAATAAATAAATAAAATAAACTGGGTTGTTGTAAGTTTTTTCAGGCTATATGGCCATGGTCTAGAGGCATTCTCTCCTGACGTTTTGCCTCCATCTATGGCAAGCATCCTCAGAGGTAGTGAGGTCTGTTGGAACTAGGAAAAAAGGTTTATATATCTGTGGAATGACCAGGGAGGGACAAAAAACTCTTGTCTGTTGGAGCTAGGTGTGAATGTTTCAGCTGACCACCTTGATTTGCATATAATGGCCTGACAGTGCCTGGAGCAAACTTTTGTTGAGAGGTGATTAGATGTCCTTGTTTCTTTCCTCTCTGCTGTTGCGCTGTTGTAATTTTTGAGTTTTTTTTAATACTGGTAGCCAGATTTTGTTCATTTTCATGGTTTCCTCCTGTCTGTTGAAATTGTCCACATGCTTATGGATTTCAATGGCTTCTCTGTGTAGTCTGACATGACAAAAGTTTGCTCTAGGCACTGCCAGGCCATTATATGCTAATCAGGGTGGTCAGTTGAAGCATTCACACCTAGCTCCAGCAGACAAGAGTCCTTTGTCCCACCCTGGTCATTCCACAGATATATAAACCCACTCTCCTAGTTCCAACAGACCTCACTACCTCAGAGGATGCTTGCCATAGATGCAGGCGAAACGTCAGGAGAGAATGCCTCTAGACCATGGCCATACAGCCCGAAAAAACCTACAACAAACCAGTGATTCCGGCCATGAAAGCCTTCGACAATAAAAATAAAATAAACTTGGCTGCTTCCTGCCTGGGGGAATCCTTTGTTGGGAGGTGCTAGCTGACCCTGATTGTGCAACAGACAAGAGTTCTTTCTCCCACCCTGGATATTCCACAGATATAGGTAGGTTTTCCCCTGACATTAAGTCCAGTCGTGTCTGACTCTGGGGGTTGGTGCTCATCTCCGAAGAGCCGGCGTTGTCCATAGACACCTCCAAGGTCATGTGGCCAACGTGACTGCATGGAACACCGTTACCTTCCCGCCGGAGTGGTACCTATTGATCTACTAACATTGGCATTTTTTCGAACTGCTAGGTTGACGGAAGCTGGGGCTGACAGCAAATTCGAACCTGCGACTTTTCTGTCAACAAGTTTAGCAGCTCATGGGTTTGACCCATTGCACCACCGGTGCTCCCACAGATATATAAACCATAATTGCCTTGTTTCCAACAGACCTCCTCCTCTTTTAGTTTCCCCTTCTTTAGTCTGCCGTATTCAAAATAGGATCGGCAAGGAATTTAAGCTGCATCTGACATTCCCGAAGGCTGTTCAGCATTTAAATATCCCATTTTGCCGGTTGTGAAGCAACAGCCGCTCCTCCTCGCACCCTTTCTTCTTTCTCCCTCCTGTCCGTGCCTCCGAGGCAGAAGTGCGGAGGCTGCCAGATGACCTCAGCTTCCAGCCATGAGGATGTGAGCCGGGGAAGGGAAGGAAGCATGGAATGCCTTTTTGGGAGCTTTTTGAAACAGAGCTGCTGCTGACTGGGTTTGCAAAGCATTCCTTCTGCAGGAGGAGCTGAAACAGGGCTGAAAGGGCTTCCAAGAAAATTGAGTTCCCTTTCAATTTAACGGCACGGTTCTTGCTTTCTCCAGAGGTCTGCTCTAAAAAGCTTTGGCCATGTTTATTCACACCACACAAGAGAGATTTATTCCCCCTCCCATTTCGGTAGCCATCGAAAAGGCTGAATTAGATCAGGAAGATGCTTCAAGCGGAAGAGAAACAGAACAGTTGTGTTGCATTATCTTTGTTTTTCTTGGGGATTCTGTCAGATGAAACCATTAAACCGAGCCCACTGAAACAACTAAATCGCACAATGTGTTTAGAATCCCAACAGCTTTGGCGAGACGACATATCTGTGCTTGTCTGGTTTGAATAATTTATGCAAAAGTCTGTCTCATTGATTTAATTGGAATCAGGCTGTTAGGAGCATAAAGATAAACTTCATCCAAGAGAACTTTGTTACACGAGTGGGCTTATTAACAAAAGACCCTCTTCATAAATGCACAGCAGAGCAACTTACCACCAGCAGCGTGACCTAGGACCAGTATCCAAAAGTGATAAAAAGAACAAAAAATACACACACCAATGTTATCTCTTCCTTAGGAGGCTTTTATTTATATAAATAAAAATGTAATGTTCAATGTATAGTCGAAGGCTTTCATGGCCGGAATCACTGGGTTGTTGTCGGTTTTTTCGGGCTATATGGCCATGGTCTAGAGGCATTCTCTCCTGACATTTTGCCTGCATCTATGGCAAGCATCCTCAGAGGTAGCGAGGTCTGTTGGAACTAGGAAAAAGGGTTTATATATATCTGTGGAATGACCAGAGTGAGACAAAGGACTCTTGTCTGCTGGAGCTAGGTGTGAATGTTTCAACTGACCACCTTGATTAGCATATAATGGCTTGACAGTGCCTGGAGCAATCTTTTGTTGAGAGGTGATTAGATGTCCTTGTTTGTTTCCTCTCTGTTGTTGTGCTGTTGTAATTTTAGAGTTTTTTTAAATATTGGTAGTCAGATTTTGTTCATTTTCTTGGTTTTCTCCTTTCTGTTGAAATTGTCCACATGCTTGTGGATTTCAATGGCTTCTTTGTGTAGTCTGACATGGTGGTTGTGAAAGTAGTCCAGCATTTCTGTGTTCTCAAATAAAACGCTACCTCTGAGGATGCTTGCCATAGATGCAGGCGAAACGTCAGGAGAGAATGCCTCTAGACTAGGGCCAGGTCACAGTCCCTCAAACTGTTGGAGGGCCGGATTATAATTTGAAAAAAAAATGAATGAATTCCTCTGCACGTTGCACATATTTTATTTGTACTGCAAAAATCACTTTAAAACAATACAATAATCAAAATGAAGAACAATTTTACCAACTATAAACTTATGATTATTTAAATGGGAAGTGTGGGCCTGCTTTTGGCTGATGAGATAGGATTGTTGTTGTGTGCTTTCAAGTTGTTTTAGACTTAGGTTGACCCTGAGCGAGGGCCGGGTAAATGACCTTGGAGGGCCGCATCCAGCCCCCGGGCCTTAGTTTGAGGACCCCTGCTCTAGACCATGGCCATATAGCCCGAAAAACCTACAACAACCCAATGTAATGTTCGTTTATGGGATTAACATAACTCAAAAACCACTGGACGAATTGACACCAAATTTAGACACAATACACCTATCAGGCCAAGTGCCCATCACTCATAAAACACTGAACAACAGAAAGGACTTAAAAACAAAAACAAAAAATACATTACAACGCATGCGCAAACCCACATATATACACCTATAGACAAATACACACACACACACACATATACACACACAAAACACATATACACAGACTGGGACAGCAATGCATGGCAGGGGACAGCTAGTAGCAAAATAATACGGTTGCACTATTTACAAGAACAAGGTTTCCATAACACAAATAAAGTTCTTTATACTTCCTTCTTTGCTTTCACGCTGGGCTTCTTTCTCATGCAGATAAAAAGCTTCACTCTCACAGAGCCCTTTCTCACACTAAATTTACACAGGAGATTCATGCCATAGCCTTTTACACACAGCAGCCTTCACACTGGAGCTTTACACACAATCTGGGGCTTCTCTCATAGAAGCCTTCTCACACCAGGCCTCTCACACACTGAGGCCTAACTGACACTGAGGCCTAATAACACTGAGGCGTACTAAACTACTAAGTATGACTCACATTTTTGTAATTAAAAATACCTAGTTAATTTTTAATATTTCCGACAATCTTTACCTACAGTCTCTAAAATAGTGTTCAAACAAATGCAGTTCTATGGTCACATAAAGTGTGTATGCATATGTTCTTGTACGCATGGATTGGCTTTTAGGAATTGTGGAAGTTGAAGTCCAAATCACTTGAAGGACTGAAGTTTGCTCATGCTTGCTATAAATGCTCAGAAACATGTGGCTGGCCATACAAATAACATAATGGATGAGGAGGGCAGTCTATTTCCTACACCTTGTAGCTCTTCACAACTGCTGCTTTTCCATTCCATCCAAAGTCCATTCCATCTGCTGCCTCTGTGTCCAGATGGGGGTTATTGCATCCTTGAAGTCCCTTAATCTGAGGAGTGTCTTAAAGAAGTGCAAAATCTAGGACAACCCCTTACGAACCACTGAGGACTTTAAGATCATCTGGGGAGGCCCTGCTCTCGGTCCCGCCTTCGTCACAAGCACGTTTGGCGGGGACGAGAGACAGGGCCTTCTCTGTGGTGGCCCCTCGGCTATGGAACGCCCTCCCTAGGGATATCAGATCTGCTCCCTCCCTCCCTTAAAGAAACCGCCTTGGGTCTGTTTAGCCTTGAGAGGGGAAGGTTAGGAGGAGGCATGAGAGCCATGTATAAATATGTGAAAGGATGTTCTATCTATCTTATCTATTCTATTCTATTTTATTTATTTATTTGTTTGTTTGTTTATTTACTGTATTTGTATACTGCCTTTCTCAGCCAATTGGCGACTCAAGGCGGTTTCCAACAAATCAGTATACATAAAACATAATATAGATAAAAAACACTAAACAGTATAAGACATCACAAAAGCAATAAAAACAACATCATCAGCGTCTCATTATTCTCAAGCATTGTCCAGTTCCATTGTCAAGTCATTCGATTTCCTATATTAGCTACTCTCTATTTGTAAAGGCTTGCTCGAATAGCCACGTTTTAACTTGCCTCCGAAACATCAAGAGGGAGGGAGCAGATCTGATCTCCTTAGGGAGGGCATTCCTTAGCCAAGGGGCCACCACTGAGAAGGCCCTGTCTCTCGTCCCCGCCAAACATGCTTGTGACGAAGGCAGGACCGAGAGCAGGGCCTCCCCAGATGATCTTAAAGTCCTCTGTGGTTCGTAAGGGGTTGTCCTAGATTTCCTAGCGATACTGGAACAATGGCAATCTATACAGTACAGTTAAAGATTTATGCGAAGGATAAAATTCCTCATGTATTTTTTTTAAAATCACAGGATGTGAAGTGACTCCTGATGTCAACATCTCAGGCCAGAAGTTCAACATAAAACTCTTGATTCCAGTTGCTGAGGGCATGAATGAAATTTGGCTCCGCTGTGATAATGTAAGTTGATTAAATGCTGGCTCTACAAATGTTTAGTGGTGCAGAGAGACATGCAGTTGGTCACTGCATTTCTCTCCTGAGGTCTTCACAAACCTGAAACTGCCTCTGCACATTTTATTGTGAAGCAGAAGTGAGGAAGTGGAATGGAGGGCAGTTGCAAAAAGAAGTGGGGAGGCTCTCTTTTGGTTCATGGCACTCTTAGCTTTCATTAAATCATAGAATCAAAGACTTAATAGAGTTGGAAGAGAGATATTGACAAGCTGGAATGTGTCCAGAGGAGAGCGACTAAAATGATAAAAGGTCTGGAGAACAAGCCCTATGAGGAGCGGCTTAAGGAGCTGGGCATGTTTAGCCTGAAGAAGAGAAGGCTGAGAGGGGATATGATGGCCATGTATAAATATGTGAGAGGAAGCCCTGGAAGCCCTGCTTCCCTGGAGACTAGGACGCAATGGAACAATGGCTTCAAACTACAAGAGGGGAGATTCCACCTGAACATGAGGAAGAACTTCCTGACTGTGAGAGCCGTTCAGCAGTGGAACTCTCTGTCCCGGAGTGTGGTGGAGGCTCCTTCTTTGGAAGCTTTTAAACAGAGGCTGGATGGCCATCTGTCAGGGGTGATTTGAATGCAGTATTCCTGCTTCTTGGCAGAATGGGGTTGGACTGGATGGCCCATGAGGTCTCTTCCAACTCTTTGATTCTATGATTCTATGAGACCACATGGGCCATCTAGTCCAACTCTGCCATGCCAGAAAAGCACAATCAAAGTACTCCTGTTAGATGGCCACCCAGCCTCTGTTTAAAAGTTTCCAAGGAAGGAGCTTCCAATCTCCGAGGCAGAGAGTTCCACTGCTTAGAGTCAGGAAGTTCTTCCTAATGTTCAGGTTGAATCTCCTTTCCTGTAATTTGAACCCATGGCTCCATTGGAGCCTAGTTTCCAGGACAGCAGAAGGGAAGCCTGCTCCCTCCTCCTTATGGCATTAGAAATAACATTGACTAATAATCGAAGAGGATACTGTTAGTTCTGAAAGGGTATTGTACTATTTGTGTCCCTTTTAACTTTTTTTGTGAAAAGAAATACAAATTTCACAATGGAATATGTGGGAGTTAAAGTGCTTTAGTGACTGCATACATAGCTTGCGCAGACTCACAGTCATTTGCGCTATGTGAGCATTTTATATGTGTCTCATGTGCTGCAATATATTCAGGTTTTGTGTTTTCTGGAACTATTGACAATAAGATACAGCAGGCATGGGCAAACTTGGGCCCTCCCTCCAGGTGTTTTGGACTTCAACTCCCACAATTCCTAACAGCCGGTAGGCTGTTAGGAATTGTGGGAGTTGGAGTCCAAAACACCTGGAGGGAGGGCCCAAGTTTGCCCATGCGTGGGGGAAGTTACTCATCTTTTCCGATTTGCAGGAAAAGCAGTATGCGCACTGGATGGCAGCTTGCCGGCTGGCCTCCAAGGGCAAGACCATGGCCGATAGCTCCTACAACTTGGAAGTCCAGAACATCTTGTCCTTCCTGAAGATGCAGCACCTGAACCCCGACCCTCAGATCATCAGCGAGCAGGTCACAACGGACATCAACCCTGAGTGTTTGGTTTCTCCGAGGTACCTGAAGAAGTATAAGAACAAGCAGGTAATGAGCTGGGAGCCGAATTTTGGTGGCTTTTGGGTGGAGGTCTTGAGAATGAGTATGGATGTGTAGTTTGGGAATGGATGGGGATGAGCATCATATTAACAAGGCAGAAGTGTGTACTTTGGTTTGCTAATCATGCTAAAGGGATTTTTAATCTTATTATAGTATCCATGGATAATGAAATAAGTGCTGTGTATTCAAAGCCAGAGTCTGTCATTCTTCTTGTTGGAGTGTGTAGAGTTGTTTGCATTTTTTTTTTTGCAGGAATCAAGATTTTATTGTAATTTGTTGTTTAAAGAATTATATAATGTGTTTTTAATTATTTTAAACGTTTTAAATGTAATTTTTGATTGTTTATATGCTGATAGCATCTTACTTACTTACTTAGTAGTCCGAGGATGATGGTCCACCAAGTGTAGTATCTTGGGGGTAGGTCCGTAGGTGACTATGGAGCCCTATTCTTGATCTGCATCTTCTCCTATAGTGAGGGCATTGGTTTCCAGGTGGAAGGCGGTCCAGGTCGGGGTTGGCTTGATGCGCCTTCCTCTTGGCACGTTTCTCTCTTTCGCCCTCCTTTCGTGCCTCTTCAAATTCTGCAGCACTACTGGTCGCAGCTGACCGCAAACTGAAGCGCTCAAGGGCCAGGGCTTCCCAGTTCTCAGTGTCTATGCCAGAGTTTTTAAAGTTGGCTTTGAGCCCGTCTTTAAATCTCTTTTCCTGTCTTCCAACATTCCGTTTTCCGTTCTTGAGTTCGGAGTAGAGCAACTGCTTTGGGAGACGGTGATGGGGCATCCGGACATCGTGGCCGGTCTTGATGGCGGAGGACCATTGCTTCAATGCTGGTGGTCTTTGCTTCTTCCAGCACTCTGACATTTGTCCACTTGTCTTCCCAAGAGATTTGCAGGATTTTCCGGAGGCAACGCTGATGGAATCATTCCAAGAGTTGCATATGACGTCTGTAGATAGTCCACGTTTTGCAGGCATATAGCAGGGTTGGGAGGACAATAGCTTTATCAAGAAGCACCTTGGTCTCCCTACGGATGTCCCGGTCCTCAAACACTCTGCTTCATTCGGAAAAATGATGCACTTGCAGAGCTCAGGTGGTGTTGAAAGTCAGTGTTGACTTTTGTGGAGAGGTGGCTGCCAAGGTAGCGGAAATGGTCCACATTTTCTAATGTTACACCATTAAGCTGTATCTCTGGCATTGGAGAGGACTTGGCTGGTGTCTGCTGGAACAGCACCTTGGTTTTTTTCGATGTTCAATGACAGGCCGAGCTTCTTGTATACTTCTGCGAAGGTGTTTAGAGTGGCTTGTAGATCTACTTCTGAATGCGCACAGACGACGTTGTCATCAGCATACTGAAGTTCTATGACAGATTTTGTTGTAACCTTGGTTTTGGCTTTCAGTCTGCTGAGGTTGAATAGCTTGCCATCTGTCCGATAGATGATTTCCACTCCGATGGGAAGCTTCCCATCAACAAGATGAAGTATCATAGCGAAAAAGATGGAGAATAAATGAAATAAGTGCTTTGTATTCAAAGCCACAGTCTGTCATTCTTCCAGCATATTTCTTGTTGGAGTGTATAGAGTTGTTTGCTTTTTTTTTTTTTTGTAGGAAGAAAGATGCTGATGAAAAGCAAACTACATCCCAGTAAAGAGTAATTCCCAACCTTCCCCACATTGCTTTCTAAAAGTACCTCGATGCTGATTTTTTTTTAATGGTATTTATATTCATCCCTTCTCACCCCGAAGGGGACTCACGAGCGGATCACAGAACACTCATGAGTGGATCACTGAAGTTCTTCGGCAGGGAAGATAGAGTGACAGCACCTGTCGAAAAACTTCAGTTTGTAAACTTCCTCCATGATTGAATTGCCGGCATTTTCTGGCATTTCCTTATGGGAGTCTAAATATCTTTTTGAAAGCGCTACCTATTTATCTACTCACTATTGCTGTTTTCAATCTGTTGGCAGGAGCTGGTCTGAAGGCCAGGAGCTCACCCTGACCCAGGTTTTGAACTGCTAACCTTCTGATCAGCCAGATTTACTGCAGCTGGCAGTTAACTTGCTGTGCTAAAGCCTGGCCCTGTGCAAAGGAATATTGAGGTTCAAAGTATTGTCAAAAGCTTTCATGGCTGGAATCACTGGGCTGCTATGAGTTTTCCGGGCTGTCTGGCCATGTCCCAGCAGCATTCTCTCCTGATGTTTTGCCTGCATCTATGGAGGTTGTGAGATCTGGCTGGACGACCATGTTCCAGTAGCATTCTCTCCTAACATTTTGCCTGCATCTATGGCAGGCATGCTCAGAGGTTGTGAGATCTGGCTGGATGACCATGTTCCAGTAGCATTTTCTTCTGATGTTTCACCTACATCTATGGCAGGCATCCTCAGGGGTTGTGAGATCTGGCTGGATGACCATGTTCTAGCAGCATTTTCTTCTGATGTTTTGCCTGCATCTATGGCAGGTATGCTCAGAGGTTGTGAGATCTGGCTGGATGACCATGTTCGAGTAGCATTTTCTTCTGATGTTTCACCTACATCTATGGCAGGCCTCCTCAGAGGTTGTGAGGACCTCACAACTTCTGAGGATCCCTGCCATAGATGCAGGCGAAACATCAGGAGAGAATGCTTCTGGGACATGGACATGCAGCCAGGAAAACTCACAGCAACCCAATATTGAGCTTTCTTCTGCCCTTTCGTTACAATGCCTCATTGTTACTTTGATCTTTCAGGCTCAGCCACCTGAACTTGTGGAGTCAACAGACTTTCTTGTTTTGTTCAGGGTTTGTCTTTGTTAAAAAGTGACCAAACTTGGCAATTACCTGAAGGGAGACGCAGGGGAGAGGGAGCGAGATTTCTGAACAATATGTTCAAAAGACAATATGTTCAACTCCTATTCCTTATAATTTCATTAGAACGAGACTGACTGTCGTGGACATTGGCAAGGAGCAGAAACAAGAAATATCTATTTATTACTTAGCTTTGGAGAAAAATGAGCAGCAGGATAAGCTGCGCCATGTGCCTGGCCTCCATTGCAAGTGGATACTGTGGTTAATTATTAGGCAAAGGACATGTATTGCTTTGCGAAAGCTATCTGTTAACGAAGAAACTCCTATTGAGGCTGATTTTCCAAAACAGTAAACCCAAATCACAGTTTTAAAGCTTGGAAAGCTAATCCTTAATAGTTAAAAAAAACTACGTTGTTCAGCAAAATTAATTAATTAATTAATACGCTTTATTTATATTCTGCTCTTCTCCCCTAGGGAACTCATAGTGGATTATAGCATTTATATACATAGGCAAATATTCAGTGCCTTTACAATCATATACAGTGAGAAACACAAACAAAGGCAAAGGCTTCTCCTTTCATTTCCGGCTTCTGGAGGCCGTGCTTATCTCTGGCTCTGGGGAGGTGCTTTTCTCCATTTTCAAGCCAAGGAGTCTGCTTTGTCACTTCCTGGTTGTGTGGCCAGCAAGATTGCTTGAAGCGTCTCTTGCCTTTTCCCACCAAAGCAGTACCTATGTATCTACTCATATTTGCATGTTTTCGAACTGCTAGGTTGGCAGGAACTGGAGCTGAAAGACGGGAGCTCACCCTGCCTTGTGGATTTGAACTGCCAACCTTCAGGTCAGCAGTTCAGCAGCACAAGGGTCTAACCATTGCACCACCACGGCTCCTACAAGCACACAGTAACTATTTGGACATCAATAGCCTACACACACACACACACAGTAAATATTCAGGCATCAATAGCATAGACACACACACGGGTAAATATTCAGACATCAATAGCCAGGGCTATTCAGACATCAGTAGCTTACACCCACCCACCCACACACACACACACACTCACACGGCAAATATTCAGCCATCAATAGCCACGGCTATTCAGACATCAGTAGCCTACACTCACACACACTCTCTCTCTCTCTCTCACCCACACACACGGTAAATATTCAGACATCAATAGCCTACACACACGGGAAAATTTTCAGACATCAATAGCCATGGCTATTCAGACATCAGTAGCCTACACCCACCCACCCACTCACACCCACCCACCCACACACACACACACACACACACAATAGCCTGCAAACACACACACACACAGGTAAATATTCAGACATCAATAGCCACGGCTATTCAGACATCAGTACCCTACACCCACCCACTCACTCACTCTCTCTCACACACAAACGGGTAAATATTCAGACATCAATAGCCATGGCTATTCAGACATCAGTAGCCTACAGCCTCTCTCTCTCTCTCTCTCTCACACACACACACACACACACACACACACACAAGATAAATATTCAGACATCAATAGCCACGGCTATTCAGACATCAGTAGCTTACACCCACCCCTCTCCCCCCCTCTCTCTCTCTCTCTCTCTCTCTCTCTCTCACACACACACACACACACACGGTAAATATTCAGACATCAATAGCCATGGCTATTCAGACATCAGTAGCCTACAGCCTCTCTCTCTCTCTCTCTCTCTCTCACACACACACACACACACAAGGTAAATATTCAGACATCAATAGCCATGGCTATTCAGACATCAGTAGCCTACAGCCTCTCTCTCTCTCTCTCTCTCACACACACACACACACACAAGATAAATATTCAGACATCAATAGCCACGGCTATTCAGACATCAGTAGCTTACACCCACCCCCTCCCCCCCTCTCTCTCTCTCTCTCTCTCTCTCTCTCTCTCACACACACACACACACACACGGTAAATATTCAGACATCAATAGCCATGGCTATTCAGACATCAGTAGCCTACAGCCTCTCTCTCTCTCTCTCTCTCTCTCACACACACACACACACACAAGGTAAATATTCAGACATCAATAGCCATGGCTATTCAGACATCAGTAGCTTACACCCCCCTCTCCCCCTCTCTCTCTCTCTCTCTCTCACACACACACACACACACACACACGGTAAATATTCAGACATCAATAGCCATGGCTATTCAGACA